AAGGGAAGAGGAGAGAGAAGTAAAGCGGGCTGTAAGTTTACATCTAGCTTATTCACAAGAAACGAGAAGCTTTGTGAGATAAGAAAGTTGGTCATATATTAATAGAGAAGATCTAACTATTATATGAGTGGGATGCAATGATTCATACAGCTAGCAGCCGGCTAGCTTACTAGCCTTGCTCTTAGCGACAGTATGTACAGCGGCATGAGCCAAGGACCGATAAATTGGTAAATGTTCTAACCCAACCTCGGAGTGACAAAGTAGTAATGGGAACACAACTTGTCGGGTTCGTAAACCCGGGGTCCCTCGGGGATCGGCTTCCGCGCCAGGGCTCGGCCCAGGAAAAACAGCATGCAGCCCTTGGGCCGGTCCAAGAGCAAAAAACAACGGGCCGGGAGGACAGTTCGGTCGCCTACTGGGAGGTCTACCCGAAAGAACAAACGCCCGCTCGTCAACTTCTTCGGCCCACCTCTCCGACCGGAGCGCTCGCTTCGGGCACCGGTCGCCTCCAAGCGGTCCCTCCGATCGGAAGGCTTGGCCCAAAACACGACTTCCTACTCCGACTCCGCGACTCCGACCAGGGACCCGTAGGAAGCCTGCGTAACGCTCAGGACCGACTGGGGCCATCCGACCGGGGGCGCCCGCTCGGAAGGGACCAGGGGCGGACGGAAAAGGCAGCGCCGCACAAAGTTAAAACCACGATACCGGGACCATACCCTGCACGCCTGCGGGAACAGTGCTCCTCAACCGCCCTGACACAAAACAGCATTGTAGGCACCGACATTGGCACATACAGTATTGTAGGCGCCGTTGGACTCCCATACGGCAAAGAGCCTCCCACATGCCTCTGGACATTGATAGTGGGCGCCAGGGTTCACCATACCTGGTATGCAGGGTAGGGCTCCTCACGTAACAATAGTATTTTACAGGTACCGACATCCACTCTTCCTGAAGAAGCCAACGCAACCCCCATGTGCACCTGACATTCACAGTGACATCAACAGTATTATGGGCGCCTACCATCATCGCTACCCTCATCGGCGTGGGCAACAAGGCTTAGAAACATCCATACTCTCTTCCTCTCACCTGTAAAGCTATCCCCTTTATCTATAAAAGGGGATGCGCCCCCTCCAAGGAAGGAGGACGATTCTTCTTCCTCAAGCTTAGATTCACTAGATCGATAACTCACAACCCCTCAAGCACACGCTTGAACACCTAGCTCATAGCGGAGTTCCGGTCGCCCTCGGCCCTTCCGGTCGGACCCAACCTGGCCTCTCATACATCCCTCATTTCTCCTTCTCGTTTGTAACCCCACTACAGACTTCGAGCACCTGGGCTCAGGAATAAAGTCACCGACCGACCCAGACTGGACGTAGAGCATGTTGCCTGAACCAGTATATATCCTGTGTCATTGAGTGCTAGGCCACCTCCGATCACAACGTACAGCAAAACTACAAATATTCACTAGTTGGTCACTTTCTGTACCGACACAACTATAAGATTGCATTGATCTTGAGAGACCATGGGAGGTTCGCATCTATTGATGCTCAAGTTTCATAGTGAGGAATAGGGGGGTGCAAGGCGGGTTGTCCGTAACCCCACAAATAGGCATAATGTTTGCTATTTTTGCCGATACACACCGAACGCGAAATTCTTGATACTACTAAACGCCCCAATTAAGTTCATGATGAAATTAATCAATACATTTGCATTCCCAATCATACGAGTGTTGAACTGTAGATTGTGCCAAAATTTCTGCAATGTACAGTACAATATATACATCATTGCATTTGCAAATCCGATTGAAAAGCTAAGGCACTTGGGCACCCACCTGCACTCCAAGAGTCTCAGTGCAGTGTGCGCTCCTCCTACCGCTCAGCTCGCGCAACGGCCGGCCACTAGGGTTTAGGGATGGAGACACGAGAGGGAGAAACAAAGGGGAAGATGCCTCGTATCCTCCCCATGCTTGCCGCCACCGCCGCTGCTGTGGTGTCTCGAGGCACTTGACGCTACTACCTCTCGGGTCTTGTTTGGATGTCCATATATCCACATTAATCCATGTGCGTTGGAGTGGGTTGGGTGTAATTTATATCTACCTCAATCCATATGTGTTGAAGTGGGCTGGGTTGGATACATGGGCATCAAACCAGGCAAGTGTATCAGGTCCATGACAAAAAGACATGCACCATCGTGCCATTTTTGTAGCCCAGTAGCCGGACTTGCGGTCCGGGGCTCCCAAAATCCGTTGAGCTTGCTCGAAAGACGGCCGTATCGTCCAGGCAAGCAACCAGAAGCAGCGGTTGGTTGGTAATGTGCAGTAGAGGCGCAACACGGCGCGTTAGCTTTGAAACAGGCGTGACAGAATCATATGATCTAATCTCCCGATCTCCATAAACCGCCAACAGTTCGTGCGCGGCAAAACACTCTCCTGTTCCAGAAAAGATATACGTACCTATCTATTCAAGCTACAAGCAAAACACTCCCCATGTTCCACAAAAACTAGGACCGTTCTGTCTGAAGATGAAGACTGAAGACTGAGGATGAGAACGGTATGTATGTATATACTGCTGCACAACTTGCGGTATACACGGTCGTATCCCCGGATGGCCGGATGGGTTCTGCCCTGGTTTCCAGCATGCAGCATCACGGCACGACCGCACGAGAGAAACTCGGCTGCAGGTCCCGGCGGACAGCTCATCCCCGCTGTGCGCAGACGCGGGCCCGGACGCCGAATTCGCGCCGGCTCATCATGCACCAACCCGCGCGGCCGCAACGCCTGCTTGGAAACCATGGCCTTGTTCAGACTAAGGTTAGGAATCAGTATTTGGTATGGTAGTATTTTCATTTGTATTTGATAATTATTATTTAATTATGGTATAACTAGATTTAAAAGATTCATCTTGTAATTTACAATCAAACTGTGTAATTAATTATTTTTTTATCTATATTTAATACTCTACATATGTATTAAAGATTTGATGTGATGAAAAGAGAGCATGTGGGTGCGGCAGGTGGAATTTTGCGTGTGCACTACTCAACTTTGATCAGGCCATCAGGGTCGTTTCACACGGTTCTCTCGGCAGGTACACTGGACTATACAGCACATGGATTAGCTAAATTTAGCTGGACCAGTTTAAAAACTTCAAACAAGGGCCATGTTTGGCTTACTCCATATTCGGCTTGTTCGGCTTCTTTTTTCAGTCAGAACAGTATTTTTCTCTCACAATAATTCAGCCAGAATAGTGTTTTTCAGTCAGTTTCAGACCAGCGAACAGAGCCAAGATGGTGAAACGCGCAAGTAACATGACCAGGTCACCTTTGGGAGTTCCGAGATAGGCAGAAGAAGTACGGAGCTGAAGGCAATGTTCGGCTGACTGGTGGCTCACCTCACGAAACCACTGTTCATATTCTGCTACAATAGTATTTTTCTCTCACAACAATCAACTGAAACAGTATTTTTCAGTCCTGCCGAACAGGCCCTAAGCTTATTCAGCACTGCTTTTTAAGTCACGTAGCCTGGCCTGTTTGTTGGTTGGTTCAGCAGGGTTTATCAGCCAACCAATAATATTTTCCTTTCACAACAAACCAACACCTATCAGCCCAGAAACCAACAACGAACAGGCTGATGAAATAATGTTTTCCTCCCACAATATTTCAGCATAAGTATGAATATAAACCAAATTTCAGCGTAAGCGAACACGCCGATACGACTGAAATCAGACACCATTAGGAGAGGTCTTTTCCATTCAGAACACGGAAAAGAAAGCCACGCTGAGGTGCAAAATGTTTCTTACCCTCCCATGATTCAGGTGATCACGTCCCTATCATAGAGCTGAAAAATATTGTTCCAGCTAAAAATAAAAGCTGAAAATGACAGATTAAAAGAGAAGCGAAAGGCCCCGGATCTGCTACGGTCTCTCCGTCTCTAGGATTTGCTAATGACAGAAGAAACGAAGCAAATGGAGTGGCATGCTGGTCTGTATATTTTCCTGACCAGCGACAAAATTGCATATGAGCACAAGAGAACTATTAGAAAAGTATTATCATGCAAAGAAAATTCCTTTTCCGAGATTCGATTCTTCTTCAAGTATTTTTGAACAAAATTAGGGGTAATTAGCAGGCAGCGACAAGCAATCTCAGCAGAGCCACTAGTTCTTTTCCTATAACCAGGGGCCACAAGTTCTCTACACAATCTCAGAACAATTTCTCTTCCACATTTTGGGAGCGAATTGGCGAAATACACCCGACAACCATTCCTCGCGCATTGTAGGTGCAGCTTCCACCATCCCAATAGAACAGAATTTCACCGAGATCCCAGGTTCTGGAAAAGTAGGGGAAAATGGAAATTAGAGGCGAATAGCGCATCACTTCATCAGAAAAACGAGCTAGCGCTATCTTGCTGCTTAGGTACTGTTTCGCAGGGCTTCTTTAGAAGCTTCAGGAGCCGTTTAGAGCCGTTTTCTGTCAAACGGGATAAAATAAAACGGCTCCACCGATGAAGCCTCTAAAAACGTGTTCTCACAGAGCTTTGGGGTGGAAATGAGCCAAAAATAGTGGTTTCTCTCAGCTTCACCTCATTCTACGTGCCGTTCTCTGAGAGCATATTTTAAGAAAAACTATACGTGAAGCTGTTTTGCCAAACGATTTATCAAAACGGCTACAGCTCCACCCTAGAGCTGTTTATAGAGCTGAAACCCTAAAAAATGCTTTGTAGGTGAAGTGGAGCCGTGTCAAACGGGGCCTTCAAAGGTGAGCCAAAAGGGTGACAACTTGTGCTGATGAGCTTGTAATTTGGTAGAGATCTGTCCCATGTACCTGACTTCCCTAACCATTTCAGGAAGCAACGACGTATGAGGGGCACAAGGACAATGGCAACCAATCGTACCAATAGTGCATACAAACAGTAAAATAAAGATCAAAGCGTCTGAACTTGCTGGGCACAACCCATTACCCAGCGGAAGGATAGGTCCCATGCTTGGGAACCAAAGCAGCCGTCGCCGTTAGATGCCCGAGAATATAGAGAAGGAGAACGGAGGACCCGATAAAAGGGGGAGGGGGAAGAAGAGGCGTGATCCGTACCAGCCATGGATGAGCTCGGAGCACTTGGCCTTGATCCAGCGGAACCCCCTGCGGAACGACGCCTTCACCTTGCCCTCCACCGAGTAGGCCTTGTAGCTCGCCACCCGCCGCCGCCTCTTCATCTCCGGGTCGCTGAAGCACCACGCCGACCCCGCCCCTCCGCCGCCGCCGCTCCTGGTGGATACCGGCAGCGGCGGCGGCGGCGACCTGGCGGGCGGCTTGACGACGATGTCGAGGCGCCGGTCGCCGTAGGGGACGACCTCGTTGCGGTAGGGGCGGTCGTACTCACCGGCGGGGGCGGGGGCCGCGTAGGGGCGGTACGCGCGGTCGTAGTCGGAGGCGGCCATCGCGAGGCGAGAGCGAGACGACGCGGGGGCGGACTGCGTGGGAGTCTCGCGGCGTGGCGTTTGTGGAGAGAGAGAGAGAGAGAGAGGGAGGGAGAGAAACGCCGCTGCCTTTTCCGTTTTGTTTTTACTAGTTTCGAGCCCGTACCTTGTTACGGCACTGTACTAAAAATCTACGGTAGACCGCGTGATAGGATAACGATAGGATAACGTTAAAGTAACATTTAATCTAAAAAGTAAAGTTTTGAAATTAACACAGTCACGAAGAGCGTGGCGTCATTGACTCACAAACTCTACTGTATAGATATTTTTGTAATACGGCTAAAATAATATTTTATATCAGCAGAAAGAAATCTTTAATATCTATTTCTTTCATTCGTCAATAAATCCACGAATAGGTTCATGCTCGTGCGTCGCTACGTCATTAGAATTTTTTTTTGCAACGGGATTATAATTTTTTTTAGATGTGTGTTTTGGAGGGCTCAAAGCATAGTACATTATAGAAATACTAAAATAACTTTTTTTTTGACAGGTAGAAGTACAAGATTGAGAAGTAAATCGTGAAGCTTGTTTGGCTAATCTATGAGCATCTTATTTAAATATTCATCAATAAATCATGGAAAGACAAGACCAATAAATCAAAATGCACGAGTGGAAAGTATGTCAGGTTTCAAAAAAAATTGCCATCAAAATCAGCACAAGAAACACACATAAATGAAAATGCGCAAACACATGAGTGATATACATCCATATGACCGTTGATCACAGTGTCCAACTTCAAGGCGACAAGGGCTCGCAACGTGCAATACATCGACATCATATACGACTCCTTTGCCTGGTGATACATGAATCCTCATTGCACAAAGCTGAAGTAAAATCATATATCTGCTACTGACAGACAAGTACTTGTCTGAGATCAAAATGAGACCACTTGTCTGAGATCAAGATGAGTCACGAGGCAGACGAACAACTTCCAACTATAGTGCCGTTTCATTACTATAACCTTTACTTCTAAGGGAATGTACTCTGAGCGATCGAGCGGCAACCAACCACACCCACTTCTTGCCTTGTAAAACAAATATAGTCATAAGTAAAAATATTAATTGTCTCTCACTTCAGCCCCATTTGAGCAAATCTTTTTCTTCACACAACGGAGGAGCAAGTTGTCCAACATCATAGATCATTACCATCTTACCATCATTCAGAAACATCACTGAGATGGATATGGTCCGGCTTGATAGCTAATCTGCACAAAGCAGAAATTATATTGCCAACAGTATTGAAGACAATGTAGTGTAACTGATATGATTCGGTGATCAACTGATCATCATAAAAAATGACCGTGGTGGTGTGGTTTCAAGCTGTGACAAAATAATATATCGGTCTCACCTTGGAGGTTTTTCTTTAGTCTCCTTTTATTTGAACTATATCTAAGTTTCATGTTCTAGAATTATGACAGCACAAAAGTGGCCATATATATTTTAAAAATAGCATAGACACATTTTGATTGGAGCAGGCTCATTAAATAAGCTAAACTGCACAAAGCACCTAACTGGAACAACTATTCTGGATGCTTCAAGGAATAATATAGCCATAAGTAGTTATTTTTTTTAAAAAAAAACTCCCTCTAAAACAATGCCCTTCCCTCCCTCTGATCCGGCTCTCCCTCTCTCCATTTCAAAAATTAAGAACGGTAAAAATGGAAGCAGTTAGATAGAGTGGCTAATTTAAGATAAGTAATGAGGTGATAGTACCTTCTATAAAAACCTTGACTCACGGTTAATTTGATCAATAGCTTCTTCTCAATTCAAAAGACAAAGCCATTGATGACAGTTCCAAACTTTTTATATAGTTTCTGCTAAAATGACAGTGTAGAGCTGCAGATTGTTTTTTCCAACCAACAAGCTAAAGCCATCGATTGAGAACTACTAACAAAACAAAGGCATAATGAAGCAAGCTGGAGGACATGAGATCGGCACAGATAGACGGGTGTACCACATCAATTATAACAATATCAATTTCTTTGGCAAAATTTTCCCTCCTCTTCTCGAACTGGCTGTGGTCTGAACAAAAAGAGTAGAAGTCAAATTAGCACCATACACGTAATTAATCAAAAGCAGAATAATACAGAGAATTTGCCAAGAAACCTTCTCACTGAACTCTCATTCCCTGCAGGCAATGCATTATGGGATAAGAGACAATTAATATGAGCAAGGTAGAGCAAGTTGACCCTGGAGGTGCACAGGTGCTGGGATGGGTCTGTCTCTGGAGCAGGTAAGGCAGCGAGGAGGCGTCTGGTGTGGTGGCTTTGCAGCAGAGGCGCAGGAACCCGGTGTATATCATGGCATTGGGTCCGTCTCTGGAGCAGGCAAGGCAGCGAGGAGCTGATGACAACGGTGGCACTTGGATCTTAATGTTCTTCAAGTAGCTTGCCTTGCCAAACCCTTCCTAGGGAAGAGCCTGTTTCTTGAGTCATTCATCTACTGGAATGGATGCCACGTGATTTAGCTAATTGCAAGAATACGGCAAAGATGCAACAGAAATAATCACAGCGCTTCCAAAGAAAGGTTGCCTATTATTATACATAGTATATTGCCCATGCTAACGCTACGGACCATAATTGGGATGAAAGATGCTACAATCACGTCACCAAAGAAACCATAGCCAAAGCTAGAGCACAAAAATCATTGCCACGCATACTTGTGAAGATCATCTTAACTATCAACTCTCCTACAAAAATTTATAGCAACTCTGTTACAAAAATTACTACAGAAACAATATTCTAGATAGTAGAAATTGAGAGTAATAGAACTTTTATGTGGATAGAAATTGAGAAGCAAGACCAACCAAAGAAGATGGCAAGAATTGTTGTATCCCTTAAATAGGCCGCAAGCTGTAAGGACCTAACATGAACTTAAAATATGTCGAACTAATCATTGAGCACCCCCATGTCCAATGTAAAATCAGGCCAACTTCATCTTAGCACTTTTTGCTCATAACCATGCATAAAAACATTTGAACTCAAGTTAACAGAGTATAAAAAAGGAAAAGACAGGCGCTACAATGTATGCAGGACAATTTTTTCAATGCCAGCTTACTTCTTGCCAAGAAGTTGCCCCATCCTAGCTTCCCAGCAGCCACACTTGTGCAGCGTCACGCCACGACACTTTGAGCTCCCCCTCGCGAACCCTGTGCTTTGGCGCCGGAGTATGTGCACAAACTCCTCCTCGGTGCAATTCCTCGTCTGGAAAGCACATCCATCAGTCCACCGCGAAACTATTGATCATGGAGAAACTGTAGACGCCACGTGATATTTTCATGCAACTATTATCTGCTTCAAATCTAGGAGAAATGGAGAACATCTGTCCTTTATTTTCATGTGTTTGGTGACTGCGGGACGAATCACATCTAGGAGAAATTAGCATTTATGAATCAATTGAAGTTAGGGAAATCAAAGGAGAATAAATTAAGATCCTCATTGCAATGCCATCGGACAACCATGCCTCCATGGCTCCACCTATAGTTTTAGAGAGAACCAGAAATTTATGGATTTATAAGATTAATGGGAAATATGAACGAACATCACAAAAATAAAAAAAGAGAATCGAATCAAATTGAGTAGATCAGGGTATGAATGGATCTTGGATTTAGCCATCAGCGACATTGCGTATCTACATGATGGAGCATAAAAACTAATAACTGTGATGGAACAACCCCACATATTCACTACACCAGGCAGCACAACTGACAAAGGCAAGACGAACATGTTCGTAACATAGATGAATATACTGCCTAGTATATGAAGATCTCATCAATAATCGCTTTCAGTCTCCTTCCATGGAACACGCACAAAAGAAACGAAAAAACCAAACTATTTGGATTACGAATCAGAAGGGGCTCAGGGAAGGGAGAGGGAAGAACCTGTAGGTGTCGGAGCACAAAGATCCAGTGAGGGCACCGTTGCGCGGCACGGGGCGGGCTGGCGAAAGTGGCTCTGCATGACCTGGTGAGGGCTACGAGCTAGCCCCCGCGCGTCCTCGAGCGCCGCTGCACTGGCCGCCGCGGGGCGGGCGCGTAAGCTGCGAGTGAGGGGTGACGATGGGGGCACGGCGGATGCAGACGACGGTGGCCGGCCGCGCGTGGAGCGAGGGCGCGAGCGAGGATGAGGGTGCCCGCGCGATGGCGATGATGGCCGCGCAAGATAGGTGTCGTGAAACTACCGGGCGAACGAATCACGGGAGTGAGGTTTCCTTTTGAGCTCTTTCCTTTTGTGTTTTTATCGCGGGCGCGGGTGTAGGAGCGACGACTTGCCGGTTGATGTAGTCTTTTTAGTTGTGTGAGAGATTTTTCTGCTTCGGTGCTATTGATGTAGCGCTGGCGACTTGCCTGCGAGCCAGTTTCGTTTTTATGCTTAAGCTTTGATAGGCCGATGTTTTCTTTAAAGTTAAACCTCACTTAAGTGATTCAAGGTTTTTACTCGAATTTTCTACCAAATTCAAAAATACCATATGACGGTTAGGATTTGAAATCCGAAGGCTTACATGAGTCTATGTGCAGTAGACTTAGAGAGATTACTAGAAGAGAAGGTCGGTCTTAGAGAGATTGCTAGAGAAAGACGGTTGGGCGGGGTAAAGACACAGGATCGTAGTGATAGAGTGACACCCTCTGTCGTTAGCGTGGCTGTGTAGATTGCGCCGCTAGAGCTGGGCGAAAGATAGTGGCGGCAAAGAGCTACATCAGATAGATTTTTTATGCCTCCATGAAGTACAAGTTGTACTATATGAGTCTTAGCATAAACTCACACCATATATAGAGAGAGATACATCTATATCTAAAGATACACAAGATGGCTGTGCGAGTACCCAACCACGAGTCAACTGCTAGTTCGCCCCTACATCTAATGGTTGATATTTTTGGATGAGATTCTAAAATTCGTATTCTAGCTAAAAATAATTCATGATGTTTTCTGAATTGTGTGCGTGTGTATTAGAATCTTCTGGAAC